CCGCTCTCTCCCACACCGGGGGCTTTCTCCAGCAGCACCTTGCTGGGGGGGTTCGGCGGGACGCGGATCCGCAGGCGAAAGATGCATTTCTTCTTCTTGATTTCTTTCCCACACAGAAACCTGGGCGGCAGAGGGGAAGAAACAACCCTCAGCCGGGGGAGGGGGGGCCACAGGAGCATCCTGCATCCGGTCCTGTCCCCATCCATCGCCCCTCCGTGCCCCAGGGCTCACCTGCTTTTATAGCTGTTGAGTGCATTGAGGAGGTGGGGGCCCCGCTCGGAGATGGGGGTGCCCGTCAGCTGCGGAGAGATGGCACAGGTACACTGGTTTTAGGGGGAACAGAGAGAATTGTCCCAGCAGTAGCCAGTTCGAGGCCGTGGTTTGGATGGTGGGTAGCCAAGGGTGCCCAAAGCGGTTATGCAAAAACTAAACAGAGGGGGGAACCCAAACTCCGGGTTTTGGCTCCTCCCAAGGTCGGGGAGAGAGGGATGCCAAGGCCCGAGGTTGGCACCAGCAGCCCTTAGTGCGGTGGAGGGGAACCCATCCCCTGCGGGGACAGTTGCCAATACACTTCTCGCTCCCACCGGGAGACTTGTCAGGTGCAACACCCGAACAAAGGGAAATCCCAGCGCAGAGGAACGTCATTAAGCTAATTTTAACATTAAGGCGTTCCTGCCCATGGCAGGGGATTGGAACAAGATGATATTTAAGGTCCCTTCCAACCCAAACCATTCCATGATTCTCTGATTTTGAGCAGGAGCTGCCTGTGCTGAGCACTGCATGAACCAGGTTGTGCAGGCCCCCAAACTCATCGGCACGGGGCTGCTGGCACATCCCTTTCCAGCGCTGACCCTCTGCCTGCCCCAGCTGTGCCCCAGCCCCAGGGAAGGTCCCTCGGCTCTGCCCAGTGCCCAGGGGTTGGCACCGCTTCCCGGCTCAGGGAGCAGCACCCTCCCCAGCCAACGCTGCCAGCGGGGGGTGCCCCCCTCTGATGCCACGGGTGGGTGAGCAGCACCCATGGGCTGCCACATGTTCCCAGTGGGTGCTAATGCCCCAGGCCGGGTGCTCCTGCCTACCCAGAGAAACCAGGCAGGTGTTTTAAAGCCCCTTCCCCACAGGGGACTGGCCAAGGAGCAGCCAGCTCAGGTTACGGGTCAAAGCACCGACCCCTTCCCAACACGCTAAGTCACCTCGGGGTTGGTGTGAGGGGACGCCAACCCGACCAAGGGGCAGAACTCTCTTCACCAGCCAACCTGCCCTGGCCTCAGGAGCTCGGCTTCCATGGGGAAGCAGGATCCAGCCCCTCCGAGACTCCGGGGACAGCTGGCCATGACCTACATGCTGGCAGCACCTCTCCAGCCCGAGCCCAGGCTGTGCGTTTACCTTCCCAAGCTGCAGCGGATCCCAGTGGTGGTTCACAAAGGCCAAGATCTCCTCGAAGTCAAAGTACTTCTTCTTGCTCTGTACGCCCAGGTTGTAGAGGGCGAGATGGACAACATCCACCCTGCGGGAGCAAAGGGGCTGAGAGGGTCGGCAGCCCACCCTCTCCTCAGCAGGATGGTACCCACCACGATGCTCTGCTCCGCCGGCATCACTGGAGCACAGCCCTTCCCAAAACCTTGCTGGAAGCCGGGATCAGTCCCACACCCCATGGGATGCCCTGAGCTTTGGGGAGGGGTGGGATGCTGCCCAGAGCTAGGGGTAACCCCAAACACTGAGCTCCCCAAGCCCAGGAGCTGGAGGACACGCTGCTCCCAGGATGAATGCCCAGTTTTCCAGCTTTTTAATGAGCCCCAGCTGTGTGCTCTTGCTGCAGTTAAGTACGGGAGCGGGATGGCTCTTACTCACATGAAAATACACTGTCTACTTTAACAATCCATTCTACCCTGTGGGATTTTACATTTGTGTCTCCAAAAATGAAAGCCAAGCAAGCTATCCTGCAGGATTTCCCTGCGCTGCTGTGCTGCTCAGGGCAATGTCCCCGAGGCAGCCGCCTCCCACCAGTAACACGTCCTACACGGCTGAGCACACGGAGAACAGCATGGAAAAGCTGGGCTGCTGGCACTGTTCATACACTCTGCAGACTGCTTTCAGACGGTTGAGGTGCGCTGGAAGTTACCGCCTGTCAACGCGCATTTAACCACAGAACGTGATGACTGTGATGCAGTTTTCTGGCGAACGTGCTCCTCGGCCCCCAAAAATCAGTAGGTTTGGGGCGCACTGAGAAACTGCTTCCCCAGGAAAGAGCCCTCCAGCTCAGGGCTGGGATGCAGACCATGGGGACTAACCCCCGGCCTCAGCCGGTCCTACTGCTGCCCTGGAGCAAGAGCTCTTGGTCTGCGGCCAAGGAGCCCCTTGGTGAGGCAGGCTGGGCTTGAGGAGCGCCAAGTCACGGAGATGGGAGCGGCTGGAGGCTCCACTCTCCACCCTGAGCTTTCTGCCTGCGCTGGGATGAGTGGGAGATGCTCTGCGAACTTGCATCACCAAAACTCAGCTCCAGGGCTGACCCCAAAAGGGCTCAGCAGCACCAGGCACCGGCCAGCCCGGTGCCTCGCAGCCAACCCAGCACATCCCCAAGGAGCCAGGGTCATTCCTTACCATCTCAAGGGCAGGCGCTTGATGTACTCCGGTCCCTGGTTGCATACGGAGCAGAAAAACACATAGAACCTGGAAAACAGAGGGAGTGGAGCGCTGGGGGTGGGAGTCAGCCCCGCAGGGCCTGGGGACAGGTCAGGATGAGGACCGTGCTCCAGGCACCGACGGTGACAGCACAGCCAGGAGCAGGATGGGGCCACCCGCCTGCCTCTGTGGAGGCTTATCTGCACCAGTGGGGCTGGGGAGACACAGACCGGGGACACGTCCATGCACAAGCCCCCCAGGAGAAGCCAGCTCTGACATCCAGCCCAGCAAAGTCTGGAAGGGACGTACCGGTCTCCGAACATCATGGGGTCGCTGAGGCACTGGGTGCAGGCTTCGTGGAACCACTGCCGACAGCGGTAGCACTGCAGCATCTTCAGGTACCACCTGGGGGGGAGAGGAGGCAGGTGACAGCGAGGGCAGCATGTGGCAGCCATTGCCCCAGCCCCCTCCCAGGCACAGAACCCCCAGCCAGGGAAAGCCTGACCCTAATTTCTATTTTCCACAGCCACAGAGGTGGGTGCAAAGGGACCCTCCAGGAGCGAGCGGAGACACGGATGGCAGAGGGAGCATGAGCAGCAAAGCTGCCGGCCCCGGGGCAATGCCCAGCAAGCTGGGGACTTCCCTCTTGGGAAAGAAAACACCCCAAATGCTTTTCCCCACAAACCCCAAATGTGACA